ACTCCGATATGATTTAAATCAATTTCCTCATCATTATAAATATCACAAATACACATCAAATAGTTTTATGGTTGCAGTTTTCTAATTTCGACTATGTGTAATGTATGCTTTAAGCATGTGCGCATTGAAAGAAATGTTTAATAAAGTAAACAAATAAATATTAAGCTTTTTTTTTTTTTTTTTTTTGTAAATTTGATACCCTTTAGATCATAATTGCTCTTTATTTCATAAATTACGGTTTCATATTTTTAATTTTATAATTTCTGCATGCCATCTTACCAGATTTAAACTGATGATCTATAATCCGGAAAAACTGATAATCCAGAATCGAAGTTCCAACGAGTCCGGATTAAAAACTTTTGACTGTAATTCTTTCACTTAAACTTGTATTCAAAATTAAGATTTAACTTGAAATTAATGTAGATAATTACTGAGAGAATTAGATTTTTGTAGCGTAGTTTACGTGAGATGAGATCACTTGGGGTCATGTGACATGAACCTGCAAATCAGGATGGATAACCATAAAAGCATAGTAAATTCTCAAATTAATGACTTTACACAAAATTTTAAACATTATTAAAATGCCTTCAAAATAAAAAATTCTTAAGAACTAAAATTTGTTAACATTTTTTATGTGTGTACTGTAAGTTGTCGCCAATAAAGTCTGCTTGGTGAGATTTGCACCGGCGAAACGGAAAAGTACCCACATTTCATTTTTTAAATTTTTTCGCAGAAAAATCCCAAATCCAGAATTGCTGAAGTCCTGACAAGTTCATATCTCAGGCTTTGCATTGTACGCTGCTTTAGTTGACTTTGGCTCATGAACTGAATTTTAAACTCATCAGTGCTGATATGTTTATATTAAAGTTCTCTTGAAGTGCACCTATCAGTGGCCAGGTTGACCATAGGGTATATTTTTTGGTGTTGTCTTAATGAAGATATTGTCTCACAGTTTGAAAGTTATTCTAAGACATATTGCCTGCAGATAAGAATCTTTTTGAGTCACTCCAGTAATAGCTGTGTACAGGCATGGACACAAGGCCAATCGTGAAATGAATTCCTTGGCATACCTTTATTTCAGCTTTATTTGTGTTTATTGAATCTGTTGTTATTTCACAATGAATATATTCACTAAATTATCTATTATATTGTCATCACCAAAAAAGTGTAAACTCTTCATGTGATATTAATAATTCAAGTGTTGTAGCTGAACATTATCTTTGAAATGTAGAATCAATGTTCTTATTACTTTTTGTACACAAGGAACAGTTTCAATGTTTCTTTTTTGAATTATTCACTTCCTTTATTTTTTTTTCTTAACTTGTGTTTCACTAGCTGGTTCAGGATTTTTACCATTATCTGATTTCATAATTTCTAGTTCGTCAGCTTCCAAATGATTTTCATATTCAACATTTATTATATTTTCTTGTTCCTTTTCTGCTTCAATCTCATTTAATTTATTCTCAATAGATAGACATTGAGCTGCATCAGTTGATTGATTATTGACTCCATTTTGGATTTCATCATCCTTAGATAAATTATCTGTAATATTTTCACTTTTTAGGAACTTCCAATTCAACATATGAAAAGTCTCCATTCATCAGCAAACAAACTGCCTGATCAAATTGATAAAAATTCTTGGTTTACCCTTTGACATTTTAAAGAACATTTGCATGAATCCTGTATTTAATCAATAAGTTTATGTCAAAAGTAACAAAATACTGTCAGAAAACACTAATATTAACAGTGCAAATCAAAAATGAATAACAGAGCAACCAAATTGTACTCTATATGTCCACTGATGCCATGTGGAATCACAACTTTCCAATAAATAAAATTACCAAAATTTTGAAATGGATATTTGTTTAAAATGCTATTTATAAGCATTACAAAAGAAAATAAAAATGTATTTGGTACAAATAATTCACTTCTTTAGATCCTAAAATGAAACCAACTTCTTTATCAGAAAAAAGGAGCGTAAAATTTAAACAAGTATCATTCCATTCATCAGGAGTAGTGCAACTATCTACTGGTATGAAAAGAAAATAGATTTTGGTGAGAAAATGTATTTACATTATAAGTGTTCATTAGGAATCCGTGAGAGGTTTAAGAGGGAGAAAAAAATCGTAAATGTTACGATTCCATTTAGCATCATTGGAACTAAAAGGGTTAAAATTTGGTTGAATTATTTGATATCACAATATAAACTAGGCTCACCTGCCTATGGATAGGACTGCCCTTTTGAGGACAACCTCGAAAATCTAGCTGATATTTATGTTATGCTTTAAAAAGAAAAATTCTCTTGAATGGAGACTTTTCAGATGTTGAACTGGAAGTTTCCAACAAGATGTGAAATGTTACAGGTTACATCTAAGGATGATGAAATTCAAAATAGATTCAATAATCAATCAACTGATGCAGCTATATGTATATCTATTGGGAATAAATTAACTGAGATCATTGTGAAATATATATATATGTATTCATATATTCATTGTGAAAAAACAGCAGATTCAGTAAACACAAATAAAGCTGAAACAAAGGTATTCCAAGGAATTCATTTCATGATTGGCCTTGTGTCCATGCCTGCATACAGCGATTGCTGGAGGACTCAACAAGATTCTTATTTGCAGACAGTATTTCTCAGAATAACTTTCACACTGTGAGACAATATCTTCATGTCAAAGACAACAACAAAAAAAAAAAAAAAAAAAAAATTCTTAAAGCTAGCATTTTCAACCTCTGTAGCTCAAATCCAGGCTGACTGATAGTGTTTGACTGCTTTTTGCTACATTCTTAGGTTTAATTCTGTTTTGAAACTAGATCATAGATTTTATATTAGAATTTTTTATCCCCACTGAATAGGAAGGGACTTCTCATTCTCCTTAACATAAAGATGGTATTTTTTTAATGAATTGTTAAGAATGGAGAAAGAGAAGGAATTTTATTACTAATTAAAATTTGATGCAACATTTAACAAATCTTACTAAGGAGATACATTAATCTTTAAAGCTAGACTTCATGCAGAATTAACAGTGTTTTAGCCCTTTTATAGAAAAAATCATTCTTAAATGTCATGAACAGTGCTATACTCATCTTCTTTCATCATCCATTTTTAAAATGTTGCCTGATTTCCGAGGAAGTAGTGACCAGATTAAAAAGGTGTGACTAAAATCTGATTAATCACTCATAAGGTTGCAAATTGAGTCATTTTCTGAATTACACATACATCAAATTTGTGATAAGATTTCTGTATATTTCATGTAGGAGTACAGATTCAAGAAAAAATTAAAGCAGAGCTTTCTCTTTCTTACTTAGGCTGTACTGAACACTGGTAGTTTTGATTTATTTTAACTCTAAAAACTGTATGGGTTTTAGAGTTTTCCCCTTTTTCTTCCCCTATAATTTTCAAAGTAGTATGTTGATGAGGAAAGCATTTTTTAGTTTTTTATCTCAATATTTCTACAAAATAAAAATAATTAATTAAATGCACATGAAGTATTCTGCAATTAATCTAATGGTTTTTATTATAGCAGTACGGAATTTTGGTGCTATTTCAGATTTTGGAACTACTCTGATATGCGCCCTCAAGGCGCCAAATTTCTCGCCAAATATTTTTGGCGAAAAACTCCATGCTGCCATATTGCTATCTAAATTTTTTGTCTACATTTCGAACTTTAAGCATAAAATGTCTCCAAAAACACGGTTTTCGCGAATGCAGAAACCACGTTTTGAACACACAATTTAAGCTAAAAATCCGAAACAAAAAATTTAGATAGCAAAATCATGAAGTTTCTAACCAAAATTATTTGACAAGAGTCCATGTACACAGCAATATGTTTTAACTTAAAAAAAAATCTACGAATTGCAAAATATAGGCAGCGAAGGAATCTACGAACTACGCACACCTTGCTTTAACTGTCAAGTTATTTTGATGATTTGGGTACACAAATTGTCAAATTTTTTTATTGGAAAAACCAAATGTAGCCGAAATAAACATCTCCCGATATATATTCGGGTATGACAATACGATACACTCAAAAAAAAAAAAAAAAAAATTACCCTGAGAAATACTCGGGCGTGACATTTTCGAACACCAAATCTCGGGCATGACAGTTAAAAGGTTAATAAATTAACATAACAACAATAAATTTCAAAGAATACCATGTACACAGCGTTCTATTTCAACTTTAAAATACATCTACGAATTGCACAATTTAGACGGTGATGCACTAATCAACAAGATAACTAAAATAAATTTTCAAACAATTGAAATTTATTCAAAAAAAACAACGATAACGACAGAAATTCATACTAAAAAAACAATGAAAAATAACATTCTACAAAATAAGAACAAGAATAAAACAAAATGCACTTACCATTAATGCTTTTTCGAACAACAGAAATACCGATTTCATACCGTCTTTAACATACCGCCACGTAATCACTATCGTATTTATATGACAGCCAGACACACTATCCAGAGAATTCATACTATGGTTCACAAATAAATAAAATAACAAATGATCACAAATCCCTACTTCTATCACACAGCCACTAAAAATAACCTCCCATACCTTCTTTCCACACCTCCAAATACCCATTGCCCTTCAACAGGATGGCCACGACGATATTTCCTTATGCCGAACTTCAATTCAACAACTTTCACCATTAAATCTTTCCTCTCTAGCTTCTCAGATACAAAGCATGACGGGAACCAACAAACTCCAGCGAAAGATTTTTCAACGTCAACAGGGTTGCCATACAACACGCAATCGCGCCAAAAACCACCGCAGAATGCATATCGCCACATTTGGTGAAATTAGGGCGTATATCAGAGTTGTACGCAGATTTTATTATTTAAATGACGTGTTTTTGTCTCTTTTTTTCCCCCTCTAATTTATAAATGTTGTCATCCCATATTATAGGACTGTCTACTGATAGATTCCTGCATTTTGATAATTTAAGTGTAATTTTTTAATAGTTCTTGTTTTTGATAGATATGCAGATAAGAAGCATAAAGAACTCAAACTTACGGAGGAAAAAGATGTCATATTACAAAGGTTTGGTTTTACTTCAATTTTTCAAAAATGTGACCATGGTGAACTGTTATGATTTTTATTACGCATGTTAGCTTCGGTTTCCTTAAATTAATGTAATACTGTTAAAAAGAATAGTAATAAGTGCATAGGGAAAAAGAGGATATTTAATAAAGAGTGCATTTTTCATTATACATACATTAAGCTATATTTTAAGTGTCTAGTTTGTACATATCAAAATATTCGTATATCTGTTAATATCACTACTTAATAATGCATTTTAATAGATGAAAATATACATGAAATACAGATAATAGTCAATGTTTTACATCTTTTAAAATGTAACGCTCTTCGGCAATGCTAATCAGATTTATTCAAAATGTTTTTAATATTGCTTAAGTTTTACCTGTTCACACATACAGTTGATGATAATTATAATAGTCACTCACATCCTAAAGAAAAAGAATGTTACAACAAGTTGGCATTCTGACCAAAATGGATTTAATGTACAGTCAGCTTCCAATTAGCAAGACTGTGTTTAAAATAAGCAAAACATGAATCTTGAACTTACGAATTTAAACCAATCAGAATAAAACATAAATGTGTACAAAAAGGAAAAGAAAAGTGCATGGCAGCAGACAATGTATTTGAGAGTTGTTTTTATTCTTTTAACTGTATATGATCTGAAATGTATAACCATAGTTAAACCACCCCTTGAAAGTAAATTGTTAAATCTTAGAAATTAAATGTATTGTTATTAATCTGTTTCACACTGACTCTTATCAGATGCAGGAGTAATGTAAATAAGAACTTTATTTTAATTTTCAGTCTTGATTTGACATATGTAACCAAACTTATTGTCTAGATTAGATTGCTTGAAAATACAGATAAATTGTTAATAGCATTCTTTTGTTAATGAAGGATATATCTTTCTGATGCATTTTTGCTATTGTCCTTGGATTAACCATAGTTTTGGCTTAACTATGGATATTATCCCACACATTATCTTGGCAAATTTAAAGCTAAATGTATTCTGATTAGTTTGGGACTTGTTGTACCAGTTGTTATAATGCATTGATAGCTTTTATGAGTGATCATTATAATGAATATCAAATATCAAATTGTGTTCATTCAAAATTTGAGTGTACTCTTAACATTACATATTATGTCTGCTAAAAGTGTTATTTGTATTGTTGCTTGTGAGAGGAAAACACATTCAGAGTTTATTTTAATCTTAACTTAGCACATAGCATAAAAATTTGTCAAAAATTATTAATTTCCTGAAGTCTGCCATGTAATTATGTAAATTTAGAATGTGAAAGTGTATTGAGAAAGAATGTCCCCACCAGGGTTTCTGGCATTTTTCTTTAGCTTTTTCCTGTTATCATAGTCTGACTCTTGTTATATGTATGTTACATTTCATGTTTTTGCCTTACATATGAATCTAAGAACTTTAGAACTGATTCCATAAAATGTCAAAATTTTAAAGAAACAACTGGTAAGTTTCTTGTTTGCACTCCTCCAATTGCATTACCTTTCTATGCATGTTTATAGCATTTCTGAATTGGTTCATAAACATCAGCTCTTTAAGGTGAGATTTTAGTTTAGGGTACAGGTCTCAAATATGATGAGTAAGAACTTGGATACTTTCTGTTCATCAGTACCCTCAGTGTTAACATTCAGTAGAACTGTCATATTTTTAGGATATATATGCAGTAACCCGCACAATGTATGGACACATGTGTTCAAGTACCCTACTTATATCACAGAATTTATTTGGTGCAAGATCTGCAAAGGAAAAAGACTTTTTTTTGAAGAAATTTTGAAGGGTCACAGCTGGTTCGGTTGTAAAATTTGCACATATCCACCAGTTTCAAAAGCGTAAATATCATATAAATTTTTGTTTCTTTCATAAAATTTTTAAGAAGAAATATGAAAGGTTTTTGTTTCTTATAAGACGATTCTTTTTATTATTATTTATGAGGAATACTTCTGAGCTATATAGATAACCAAACAAACGCCTTTGCCAGTTCATAATGTTGTCAGTGAGTTGATGGTTTTTTTTTTTTTTTTTTTTTTTAATGGGAATGTGGATAAGCAGACAGTACCTGGCTGTACTTGCAATAAGCTTTTGTCAATTATTTCATTGTTTGGAAAAAACTTGTTTTGTTTCTCTCTGTTCAGTCTTTTAATCTATAATAGCAGACATACAGTATAAAATTAAATGAAGAACTCCATTTGATGTTTTTTCTTTGTGCAGGTTAAGTTTTAATAGAAGCTTAGATGTTAAAAAAAATAAAGTTTGTAAAAAGACGAAGTTAATAAAATCAACTTATTTTTGCAAAGTTCAGGTTTATCGTTGTAGCCTTGGCTACTAATGTTTAAAATTAATTTATGACTAGTAACAGCATGAATTATAAACAAATAGCTAAGTTATTGCATTTTATTTTCCAGCTATCGAAATGCGACGCTACGAGCAACGTTTTGAAACCAAAACCTAGCAATCATGAATCAGAACTAGAACTAGTTGCCATTCAGCATAAAGAAATTTAAATATAAATATGAATATTAACAAAATATTAAAGTTAATTTTATAAAATAATTAAACACATGAACAAATATATGAAATAAAAAAATAATTATTTCTCATGCAATAACTGGGCCACTACACTACTCCCCCACCAGTAACTAAGTTACGTTACGAAGATGGAGAAATAGGTAGTAACTAGTATTGCAGTGTTAACCACTATCAAAATAATTTAGTCAGTCCTTGAATCTAACAGGTAAACGTATAGTTCTGCCTGTGCGAGAAGGTTTTTGATTCACATCCGAATTTGAGTCCGGTCTCTGCAAATTACTGTAGTAGTCAGGTTGTATCAACTGAGAATTTTCCTCAGCTAAAATATATGCTGGTTTCAGGCGATCCAGGGATACATTAACATGTTTTCCTTTTGTGCTAATAGTAAAATATTTGTCCTTGCGATCAATAACAGGAAATGGTCCTTCATAAGGAGGTTCCAAAGGTTTTTTTTTATCCGATCTATTCGCTGAAACACATGAGAACAAGTTTTTAAGTCTTTATGGACAAATATCTGTTCAGATGAATTTTTACGAATTAGTCTCGGTCCAACAACTTCCATCTGTTTCTGGAGTTTATTAGCAAAAGTCTCCGATGCTGTCTGGATACTTGGTTCGCTGAAAAACTCGCCAGGAAGTCTGAGACTCTGGCCATAAACTACTTGCGCAATAGAATGATTGGTATCTTCTTGAATAGTGCTGTTGAATAGTTTACAAACCCAAAAGTACTGTTGGTAACGTGTCCGTCCAAGATATGTTGTTGTGGGCTTTTAATGCTGTTTTCAATGTTCGATGAAGGCGCTCAACATTGCCATTACACGAGGGGTGGTAGGCAGTAGTGTGTTGTAAATTGATGCCACAGATTTTGGACAAAGCTCGTAATGTATCACTTTTAAATTGGGATCCACGATCACTAATGAGTTTACTTGGCGTTCCGAAACGCGCAATCCAGTTGCTATAAAAGGTTCTTGCGACGTTCTCAGCAGAAATATTTTCTAAAGGAATTGCTTCCATCCAATTCGAAAATCTATCTATGCAAGTAAGACAATAAATATTCCCTTTAGATGGTGGAAGTGGTCCTATGAGATCGATATGGATGACAGAAAATCTTCCTGGTGATACTTCAAACTCACCTAATTTTGTTTTGGTGTGCCGATTGATTTTAGCTTTTTGGCAATGAATGCAGGTTCTTGTCCACAACTGTACATCTTTTTTTATGTTAGGCCAAATGAATTTTGATGTCATTAATTTCATAGTCGATTTTATTCCTGGATGTGATAAACCATGAATTCTTTGAAAGACGTGTTTTCTGAAAGCCTGAGGAATATACGGCCGAACATGTTTAGTTGATGTATCACACCACAAATATTTCCCCGATGGTAGAGAACATTGCTTGAAATTCAAGGAAGTAGTGGTTTGCAAACTCTTCAGTTCTTCATCTTGAGTTTGTTCATCAGCTATTTTATCATAATCTATCGATGAAATTTCATTAACTCTAGATAACGTATCCGCCACAATATTATTCTCACCTTTTAAATATTTGATATCAGTCGAAAACCTGGGAGATGTATTGAAGTTGGCGAGCATGTCTAGGTGTTGCTTTGTCAAGTTTTTGACGAAAGGCGAATATTAAGGGCTTGTGATCTGTATAAATTGTAAATACTCTTCCTTCTAGAGATAATGCTTAAAGTGTCTAACTGAAAGATATATGCTTAATAGTTCTCTATCATAGGTGCTATATTTTTGCTGAGTATCACTTAATTTTTTAGAAAAAAATGCTATTGGCTTCCACGAGGAGTTTTCATATTGTTGCAACACTGAGCCAATCGCCGTATCTGAAGCATCTGTAAATAACGCCAGAGGTAATTCAGAATTGGGAAAAGACAACAGTGCCGTGTTCACCAGGTCATTCTTGCACGTTTCAAACTGTTTTTCAGCTTCTTCAGTCCATTCGATTTTACGTTTGTCCCTCTTTTTAGCTCCCTTGAGATACGCATGTAACAATGCTTGATTCTTCGCTGCATCCTTTATATAACGACGATAAAAGTTAAGTATTCCAAGAAAGGTTCTAAGTTCATGAATTGTTTCTGGTCGTTTGTAGTTAGTAATAGCTTGAACTCTTTCTGGCAAAGGACGGGAACCCTTAGGTGTAATTAGGTAGCCTAGAAACTCGATTTGGGGAACAGCAAAGACAGATTTTGAAACATTAATTCTTAACCCAAATGTATGTAATCTTTCGAAAACTAATTTAAGGTGATTTTCGTGTTCTTCATGGGTACTGGATGCAATGAGTATATCGTCTAAATAGGGAAAAACGAATTCTAATCCTCTAAAGACTTCGTGAATAAATCTTTGGAACGTTGCAGGAGCATTTTTTAAACCGAAACTCATTACATTAAATTCGTATAAACCGAAAGGAGTGATGATAGCCGTTTTACATTTGTCTTCTTCTGCAATGGAATGGGAATTTGAAAATAAGCTTTGAATAAATCAATTTTAGAAAAAATATTTGTACCTCTTAAAATATGATGAAAATCTTCAATGCGAGGAATTGGGTATCGATCAGGTATCGTCTGCGCATTCAATCGTCGGTAGTCTCCGCAAGGACGATATGAACCATCCTTTTTCGTAACAAGGTGCAAGGGGCTTGACCACTGGGAGTTTGATGGACGAATTATTCCATTGTCAAGCATAAATTTAAATTCCTCTTTAGCTATAGCTAAGCGTTTTGGATCGAGCTGTCGTGCCTTTGAATAAACGGGTTGACCAACAGTCGAAATAAAATGTGTAACACCATGTTTAATTTGTGTAGGAAAAAGGTTAGGTTTAGAAATTTCGGGATATTTCGACAGTAAATCGAAAATTTTTATGGATTTATTTAATGTGGTTACTGAGTAATCACTGGAAATAGCAGCGACATCACACTGGACACAAAGCTGTGTTACGCCATCAATTAATTTTTTCTTATTTATATCGACAAGCAATTTATATTTGTGAAGAAAGTCAGCTCCTAAAATACCTTTTGTGACATCAGCAATTATGAATGGAAACTGAAAATCACGACGTAATCCCAAATCAAGAGTTAGCGTTTTTATGCCATAAGTGGAAATATCTGTGCCATTAGCTGCATACAGTTTATATTCAGTTTTACATTTATTCTGTGAAGTAGCAGGAATTATGCTTACGTCAGCTCCGCTATCAATAAGAAAGTGCAAATTTGATCTTCGGTCACGAACGAATAAACGAAATTTGCGACAATCCTTCATATTTTCTGCAGCAGCGTTTGCCGCTGAACCTACTGCAGATTCGAGTTTTCCTGGTTTTTGAAATCGTTTTTTACCCAAGCACACGGAGGCTTGCATTTCTCTAGAATGAATTTTGCTCCAAAACGAAAGTGATAAAAACAAAATTTGCCAGTAGGGTCATATCGTTTACGAGGTTGGCTTCGAGATCGTGAACGTGAATTACGTAAATCCGAGTCCCTTCGTCTTGAGCGAATGGTTACTTGATCAATTTTTTGTTCAAGAAAGGTAATTCTTTGCAACAAATCATTTGCGGGAACAGAAGGAGCATTAGTACTAAATACTTCTGGTTTCCGATTCATATCACTAATTTTATCTGCCATAGACGCTAACTTGGTTACATCTTCATCACTAACTAATAATATATTTTTTATGGAGTCAGGTAGCTTCTCCAGCCATAAAGTTTTGATTAGATTTTCAGACACATCTGTAGTAGCAACTGATCTCAACTTCTGCAAACGTTGGCTTGGTTTCATGTCTCCAAGTTCGATACCAGTAATCAAACGTTTAATCCGTACATTTTCACTTTCTTTGAATAAATGTAATAACCTAATTTTAGCATCCGAATATTTTGTGGCACTATCGTTCGTTACAATGTCCCAAATATTTTCGACGAACTTAGGTTCAAGCTGTGAAACTAAATAATTAAATTTCGTTTCTTCTGAAACGATATTTCTAAGTTTGAACTGAGCTTCAACTTGAAAAAACCATATTTCCGGTTTATCAATCCAAAAAGGAGGTATTTTCACACTCACCTTATGAAGCTCCGGTGACTGTATCGTATCTTTCATAGCAGTTTCAGAAGAGTCATTTGTTGACATTTCGAAAATTAATCAGGGTCACCACGATGTAGCCTTGGCTACTAATGTTTAAAATTAATTTATGACTAGTAACAGCATGAATTATAAACAAATAGCTAAGTTATTGCATTTTATTTTCCAGCTATCGAAATGCGACGCTACGAGCAACGTTTTGAAACCAAAACCTAGCAATCATGAATCAGAACTAGAACTAGTTGCCATTCAGCATAAAGAAATTTAAATATAAATATGAATATTAACAAAATATTAAAGTTAATTTTATAAAATAATTAAACACATGAACAAATATATGAAAAAAATTATTTCTCATACTGGCCACACAAGTATTTCACAGAAGCGAATGCGCAAAATTGATTTATAACGTAAGTACACTCTATTTTTAAAAAAGTGCTACAGTAGCGTAGAGGCACTCCAACCGAATAAATCCAGGTATAAAATCATTATGTGTAATTAACAGAACTTATAATATAGTGATTTATTATAGATATTTAAAGCATTGTCATTTTAAATTCTGAGTATGGATTTAGACAAAATGCATACTTATATTGTGCAGTGTATATGCAATTCCATATATATGCAGTTTCTTTAAAATAAAATCTCATTGTATATTAACATTTAACCATACTTTTACTTGCTAAATTCTGTATAATTTGTATGGAATTTAATTAAATCATAAATGCAACTGTTATAAGATTAAAAAATGTACTCTTAAATTTGCATGCATGGTTAAACATTTTAGGTTTGAACATGCACTTTCTAAAAAGAAGAAAATTGAAAATGTGGTAAGTTTTTTAAATCATATATTTTTAACCTTTGAGTACCAAAGCTTTTCAGAACTGCTTGTGGTTGAGTGCATTTATCATAGCAACTATTACCCACATTTATACTATTATTTGTTCTCATACATTTCATAGTACAGTAAAAAGTCTTTAATCCAGCCAGAATGATCTATAATCCTGACCACCTTTACGCATGCGCATTCAATGTATATAACGGACGATATAAGCTAAGCTAAAATTATCTAATTATCTATTTCAGTTAATGCTGCAGATTGCGTTGTTCCTTAATCTTCTAATTGGATCTGGCTTATTATTTTTTGCGGACTGTTAGAGCAATTTTATTAAAGTAAGCTTGAACTTTCGATTATGTCAAAAAGAATTTCCAATTCTGGAGCTGCCAAAGGATCTGCAAAGCGAAAGCATGTTTCGATGTCCATCAAACAAAAAGTGGAATTGCTGCAAAAAAATGGATAAAGGCATATCCTTTGTTTCTCTAAACCTTCAAAAATCTGTTTATCAATTTCACGCTGCTTTGAGGGGGGGGCGTCGCAACGCACAATGAACTGGAAATTGATCTGTCGGCACTATCCGTATCTTCAGGGCAGATGTTTTTATTTTATTTGGCTTATAATTCCTTACTAAATGTAGTGTTTCATCTTGATGTACTCACATGATTTAAATCAATTTCCTCGTCATTATAAATATCACAAATACACATCAAATAGTTTTCTGGTTGCAATTTTCTAATTTCAACTATGCGTAATGTATGCTTTACACATACGCGCATTGAAAGAAATGTTAATAAAGTAAACAAATAAATATTAAGCTTTTTTTTTTTTTTTTGTAAATTTTGATACCCTTAAGATCATAATCGCTCGTTATTTCATAAATTACGGTTTCATATTTTTAATTTTATAATTTCTGCATGCCATCTTACCAGATTTAAATTGATGATCTGTAATCCACAAAAACCGAAATCAAAGTCCCGACGAGTCCGGATTAAAGACTTTTGACTGTATTAAAACAATTTTTATATCACTAAAGGAATGCAATTAATATCAGATAATTACAAGTTAATATGAAATTATGGATAAAAGGAGCATTTTGATTCTAAATTTGGCTTGTTCTTAATTACATTAGGTTTCTCATGTTTAAGAAGGAGTAAAAAGAACATTTTGGCTAATATAAATAACATTTTCACTATTTTCAGCCTAAGCCTTAGTATAAGACCTCATTATACACTTACATTGGCATTCTTATCCTCTTTAATGAAAAATAAAATAAATAATTGATTAATATGGAAGGTCAATTGCATTCTTTTTGATGCAAATTCATGTATGAGGAAATTTTGTCTCCTGTGAAATTGTCCCCCTCCTCCAAGAATTTACAATCTAAGCATTTGAATAAAGTCAGCCAAAGGAAACTTAAATCAGACATTAAGCGAGATGAATTTCCTTTCCTGTAGCGTTGTGAGTTCTGGAAAACACCTCTTTATTTTTTAATTTATTAGAAAAAATTTGAAGTAATAGACTTCTGATAGCTGTGAAAATTTTATATATTGTAGTCATATTTCAATTCGATTAACTTTTGAAATGGCAGATAAACATTCTTATTTCTTTACACATTTTTAAATGGTGAGATATTAAAGATGTTTTTAAGGAAATGATAAACAACACATTGGTCGCTGAAATATTCTTGAGCTCTATATTTTGTTAGCCTTTCTTGAATCAGTTTTCCAATAACTATGTTCTGGATAGTATGAGAATGAATCTAAAAAAAAATCTATATAATTTAGATGATTAGATTAACTTAAGTTTCTTTATTTAGGTAGAATGCTATTTTCATTTTTTCAAAAACAATTATAAGTATAAAATAAAAAGCTAGTGCAATTTGTGGAAAGGTTATTAAGTGACATTGTGCTTAAAATAATTTTATTGTAGGTTAAAAAAACATGATTTTTTTTTTTTTTTTTTTTTTCCCCCGTTTACTGTATCAGTGTTTCAGAAAAACAGAGAAGCTATTTTCACTGATTCTTGATAAAAATCTGGCGAGTTCTAAAAATTTTTTTTTAAATGTGAGAAATACCTTAACAAAGTTTTATTATTATGGCTAAGAAATCAACAGTAATGGACTAATTATAAAAAACTAAGGCTGAAATATATGCCAGGGATTTAAGCTTTATGTGCCATAATAGGAATTTGGGTTGCTTATAAAAAAAATATAGCATAGCATAATACAGGGTTTGCTCTATGCACCTCTTTTAGCACTGCTAGAAGCTTATCCCAATTTCCAAAACTTGAAAATATATATGCTTTTATTTACATTTAGATTATTTTTAAATTTCTTTAATTAATAAACAACAAAAAATATTGATAAATACAAAATTCAAATAAAAAGTTTTTTTTTTTTTTAAATATTCATAACAAATTTCCGTTTTAACTAAAACTAAATACTGACCAGGTAAATAAAAGTTTAATCACTTTTTCCCCTGAAACTATGAAATACTCCCGGTTGAGAACTCCTGACATAGTGTATTATTGGAAGAAGCTGTGTCTGCAAATAAGGAAACTACAAGTAAGTGAATTCTTAATGTGTGGCAGAAGCTAATGTTTGAATATTGCCAATATCATTTTCAGTTAAATTAAGTGAAGAATGTTTTATAAATTAACTCATGATGAAACTTGAAAAGTGCATTAAGAGGTCAAATATAGAAATAAACAATAGAAAATAAATCAAACCACGATGCTTCAAAAGTGCTATCATTATTCTAATGAGAATATTAAAATAGCATATGGATATTAAAAACTGCAGGAAAGTGTTTTTTCCTTTCATATATATAAATGTGAAAGAAAACAATTAACTTTTAATATGGCAACAGTCTTTTTTATTCCTCATTTTAATTTGATTACTGCCCCTTCTTGTCTTAATGAATCTAAAGTGTGCCATCTCAAAATTAATCGGTCATGTCATCTTATGTAATCGTGCAGTGGGGCAGCTCTTATCCAATCACAGATCAAAATTTCAACACAGAACCACCTCTGTAAATATCACTGATGTTAACTTACTTTCTGCTTCCCTCTTGCCCGTGGTACATATCATTCACCTGTCTATGTTGCCCATTGTTTAAAGATGTGATAAGCTGTATAAAATTGTGGAGTGGAGTGGATTTTACATCCAAAATGATGCATAATTGAGAATATATGTTATCAAGAAAGTCCAGCAATAAAACCATGTTGAATGTATGACTTGTGTCTAAAAGATTTTCTTCTCCGTTATGCATGTATGATGCTAAAAGCTTTTGTCAATTTAATGCAATGAGCAATCATTGTAATAATGCAACAATATTTGAATCATGAAGAAATCTATAGAATATTTTTATTTATTTATTTTGTAATCAAACTGTGAGCACTTTACTTATCAGCATTATCCACTCCTATGGCCAGAAGTGGTGGCCATTTTATTGTGGAGGCACCTAATAAGTGGGCACCGTTATCTCCTATGAGGGAACAGACAATTTACACCCATGCAAGCATTAAACTGTAATATATTACAGTTTAATTAATCAAGAGAATTCGAACCTGGACAAAGAAACCCAATGGATTTAGATTTCATTTTGATTGGGTAAAGCTCTAAAATTATTATTGACTGAAGTTTTATGTAAGTTGTTTTTGTTAGAGTGTTATGTAAAAGTCATATGATATGGATTACTATGTTAATGATGCAGTCTAGAAAAGTTAAAAGCAATTTCTATTTTTAAAACAGAAAGGGGAAATAGCCAAATTAAAATGAGGAGTAAAGGGCTGTTGCTAATCTAAGTTATAATTTGTATGTGTGTATGTGATAGATAACTGTCACACGTTTCTGTGAAGAATCTGCATTTCTCCCATCAAATGCAACTGCAATTTAACAGCAAAATTACAGTTGCATTAAAAGTTTTAAAAGTAGATGCAAAATTTTTTAGAAAAGTAATCAAAAGTGAAACACTTGAATCTGTCAATTACTGTTATAGTTATTAACTTATCATTTGTAAGTTAATATCTTTAAAAGTGAAGTAGTTAGAAGTTTCAAATGTTTTTCAGATGATTTTAAACCTTTCACATAAAAAAAAAAAAAAAAAAAAAAAAAAAAAAAAGATGGAATTAAAGCCAAAGGTTAAAATATATTAGATGCAATTTACCTTTTAGATAAGGCTTCATCATGTGATCAGTGTCAGCATTCAGGATTATTTTAAGATGGCAAGTCTTCAGAGTTACACTTTGAGTAAAAGCAGTGTATTTTTATACAAGGATGATGATCATCTACCTTGTATAAGACCTATTATAAGAATATAAATGTAAAAACTTACCATAAAAGATGCTTTCACTTTTATGTAGATGTCCCTTGTCTATATGATTTTGTAAATATGATGATGAAGTGGGATTTATTATATAAAGGTGTCTTATATGCTATCTGTGAAAATAACTCTTGTGAAAATGGTAGCAGAAGTGAAATTAATATCAGGTACAATCAATCTGTCCAAAAATATGCCTAAAAAAAGCATTAGCTACTTGAATAGAATTTTCTAAAACATGCTTCACAAAATGAAGAATCGAGATGGAATTAGGCATTTTGTGTCCAAATTTGCAAACTGTTAAAATGAGTGTAAAGCAATTAAAGTAGGGTACTCATGAGGTCTATGAGAATCCTCAGTTTATTTCTTTTGGGAGGGGGTGGGGCTGTGAACCACTTTGCCCTTTAAAAGTTGTTTTTGCTTTCAGAGAAATGATTAAAAAATATCTAGTCATTTTTTTTTTAATTAATTTTCTTAGATATATCGGAGACTTACTTTGATATAGCATCCTCTCTGAATACGTGTCTCATATTTTTGCCTTTAAGTGTTATTTTTTATGTTAGATCCTGACTACTTAGTTTTATAATAACTTATAAAAAGTAAAGGATAGGAATTAATTCAAAACCTTTAAATTTAACATTTCTGTTTCCAGAAATATATATATAATTTATTATTAGAAAAGTTTTCTTATATATCATTTTCAAGGGACATAAATTTAATTAATGCAATGAATGTGTGTGTCTGTGGGTGCAAATGTTCAATGAACGGAAATAGTTGGTTAATGAAATTATATTTCATTTGATATCTTTCTTTTAGAAGTTAGACATATACAAATGCAAGGAGAAAATATATTTGCTGAAGGAAAGTATAAAGAGCTGTAAAGAAGAAATATTAAAAGGTGAAATTTTTAATTATTCCTAATAATTTTTAATTATTAGGAAAGCATAAATTAAAGTATTTTTACATATAAATTACAGTGTTTGAATTTCTAGCATAAATGTGTATATTTATTTGTCATCAAATTCTTTGTTGGCAATAAAATTGCCTCATACGAAAAGAGGTAAGAAAATTTATCTGATTTATTTTAGCTTCTAAAGTTAATCCTTAAAATTATATAATAATGTAAAAAAAAAATTTATTACACAATGTAACCATAATGCTCATTCAGTTGACATTAAATTAAAAATTGCTTTTCTGATTATTTACCTGCTTGCTTTTGTTTACTCTTTACCTTACATACTTGTTTTCTTCAGTGTCAATTAATTCACTGTAAAAAGTAATTACTTCTTGTGTTTTTATAAAGATATCTCTTTTGAATTTTATTTTTCTGTCGTCTTCTTCCTTTGTCCTTCTGAAATTCTTGAAGTTATTTTCAAATGCACTTTCTTTTTCATTCTCCCTTTTCTTTTTTTTTCTTTTGTTTACTCACTTCTAAGAATCTCGGATTCAACCTAAAGAAGGTTTTTTGATTCTTGACTTAGAGCAATGTTTGTTCCTCTGCTGTGGGTGATGAAACATTAAGTAATTTATTTATTTTTATTTACATGCATATTTAAACAAAATTTGTCTTAAGATAGTTGAATAAAAGTTGTATTAAAAATGATGAATTATTTTTTTCACTCCCCCCTAAATTACTAAGTCATAAAAAAAGTTATTTGTATGATTGATTGTGAAACAAGTTTTACTTTCTTAAACATACTTCTGTCAGGAGGAATTAGGCGTTGGTTTTAAAATTCTGCTTGATTTCATATCTCCTAAAAATATTTTATAATATTCCTTTTTTATTTTGGGCGATAATACTATATGGTTTTTCTTTTTCATTCTTGTAATATATGTTTAATACATTCATATTAAGAACTATTGATAGCATAATTTATTAATATTTTTTAATCATATGTAAGAAATTTTATGTTTAAAAACTGAACAATCAGTAGTACGCTTATATTTGCTTGATATACATGTAATAATTTACTTAATTCATGTTATTCAATTTAACAAATTTAAGGCTACTGCTGTTGTCAACTTGCTGGCAAAAATTTAAGTTTGTTTTTAATTGCAAATTAATTTTCCTGAAGGCATGCTCGTTAGAAATAAAGCTAAATTTAAAAAAAAGTGACTATATTATAATTATTACTGGAATATCAATAAGTAGTATCAGAAGGAAAAAAATATTCTTCTGGATTTTGATATTATTTTTAAAATAGTATCAAGAACGTAAGAACTGGAAATTCAGAATATTGGAGAAAAATATCTGATATAATATTGCTAGTATATATGTTTTATACATATCCTGTATCCTGTGTACTCCTTAAAAGGCTTAAGTTGTTTTTGAAAAGAACTTCTTTTTCTAAAATGCAAATTTATATGTTAGTTACAAAATTCTGTTAAATCTAACTAATCTGTTTGTATTTTGTGAGCTATAGTATCTTTGAATTTATTAACATATATGAGTAAAATGGATTATTTTATCACATTATTTTCATCTATAAGTTATTGTTTTACATCCTGTAATGTAATGAAACATACAATTTTTTAGTGAAGACAAATATAATTTGGTTCTTTCTCATCAAATGCATCACAGGGGAGTATAGTTTCCAATGGGAAATGTTCAGCAGTTGTCTTTGGAACAACACTGAACACATCATTTTCAGCTTGTCTTTTCCTCCAGGAAACTCCTGTATGTAGGACTCGAGGTGGTGGCAAGCTGTACCACAGAGCTTTTCATTTTGCCATTAGTACTAACCCATATGCGTTCTATATTTTGCATTTGTGTACCAGTTTCAGTATCGATGAAGTTATATTTGTGATTTACTTTACAATGGATATACCCAGATTTTTCACTGCTTCTATCAATCAGAAAAAAAAGGTCGTTCCTTTGATGTTATTTTTAATTTTGTTCGTTAGTGCTGTGGACTATGATTGGGGAGCATTATAAGAAATGTTTTGCTCGTTTCACAACAAATGTCTCCAAAAATCCACTGTAGTGGCAGACTTCTTCTAGGATTATTTTTGCGTCCTGCAAGCATGCTTTCATCGATCTCCTCAATGCATCTACCAACACTGATTTTCTCCTTTTCTGCTGCCACTATTACAAGGATATAGATCTTGTGGAAATAATTGTACCAATCCATACCGTTTTCTTGGCTATTCCTGGTTTCTTTTTGCAGAACTTGACCAATGTTCGTTCATCATGCCAGGAACATATGAAACGTAATGCTGTTGTGAATGTTGTTCAGCTTCCTTCGAACCAGTTTTCTACACACATTCTAATACATATTCTGCATGTGCGGATGTTACACTTCCAAAAAATGCGATCCTTGTACTTATAGCTTCACCGAGAGTGCAAGTTTGCTTTCTCGATTTTGTGGTAGTATGTAGTAATTCTGCAAATAGCAAATTGTCTTTTTTTAAGATTTGCAGATTTTCTGAACTAAATAAGCTTTGGAAGCTTTTTTATTTGCATGTATGGGTGACTGTATTAATGATTTTTATAAATATTAAACTGACTGTATTAATGATTTTTATAAATATTAAAATACATTTTTGTATTAAGTCCGTGATTATATATCTGGTGCTTGTTTATGGAGTTCTGCTATAAAAAATTCAAAATTGTATTCCTATCCTAAAATGCTATAAATTGTATATTATATCTATCACAGCAAATGATCAACCCATGACTACAGGTACTGCAAGGAAAAAATTCTTGTCTTGTGTTTGCGATCCATTATTCCTTTCTTAGTTGGAAGAACATAGTGCCAGTAAACTAGAACCAAGAAGTAGTCATTGTAAAATGTTGCTCAGTATGGGGGGAAAATTGTCTGAATTGGTGAAATTTTCTTTTTCATTAGTGTTCAAATCTAACACATGGTTTATTAGAGCCAGACAAAACTTTGAGTAAATTCTGAATCTCAAAATTCATTCCAATATCCCATTTTTGTTAATTCCCAATTTCTAAGCCAGATGAAGGATTTGATCTTCTAAACTATTTACCCAGTTTTCTGGAGTTTTTATTTTCATTTTTATCACTTGAAGCAGCTCAAGCTAGTTGACATCACCAATCTCTGTTGATTATGTATCTAGCTGAGGCTTGTGATGTCAACTAATTAAAGTTATAAGCAACCATTACAAGACATTTCAGAGTAGAAGTCATTCGGATTTGCCCTTTGTCATCCAATTATCAATGACCAGTTTAAACACCCATGTGAGGAGTTTATAAGTAATGTTTTAAATGCAGTTAGGTACAAATGAAAGGGAAAAAGGGGTAGTTAAATGGTTAAAGAGCAAAACGGATATAGATTCTGATTTAGAGCATGAAAATCATCATTTATAAGGAAGCTTTCAGAATTATCTTCCGCTATGCACAGCATCTAAAAGTTCATGCCTTAGTACAAGGCATGTTTTTTAAGTAGTTATCATTTTGATATTAAAAAAACACACACACAAATACAGTTTTGTTAACAATTTTATTTTTACATGGAAGTATGTACCTACTTTTCAACATAATTACCACCAATATTAAGGCACTTCTTATCATACAACCTGCTTTTGAATTCCATCTTCAGAGAATTCCAATCACTGGAGCAGGGTTGTTTTTGACGTCATCGTCATCATTGTAGCATTCCTCCATTCCATGGATAATATTTTGATTCTGATGTAACATTAGCTACCCATATTTCATTACCAGTGACAGTTTGGCTTAAAAACTGGTCACTTGTATGACTGTGTTAGTAAAGAAGAGTCAAAGCACTGGCTACACAATTGTCTTTGTGAACCTTGGTCAGCATTTTCATTACACAGCATGAGCACAACTTCTGATAATTTAAGCATTCTGCTATAATTTCATAAAGAACATTCCTTCAAACTTGAGGAAATTCATCACATAATGGCAAAATTAAAAAAAAAAAATCTGTTTTCCTGAACTCTTGCATCAGCTCTGTGCACTAAGCTTTCAATAATGATACATGGTCGTCCATTTTGCTCCTCAGCATAAAATGACCATCTTTAAATGGTGTAACCCATTTTCTTGCTATTCTGGCCACTTCACAAATTTCTTGATGAATTTTGGCTGCATTCTCACTTTTTGCATTCAGAAAACAAATCACAGTGCGTATTGCACAGTTGGCAGTATTTTTAATTGTGTGAGGCATTTTAATGTGTTTAATTGTGTACAAGAAACATCAATGTGAAAGAATGCTCTCATTTTGGCATCTTTTATTGACTAATAGATGTTGGTGCTCAGCATGCATGCACAGCGTGTTGACCACACTACTGTAGTGGCCATATTTAAAAACAATTCTTACTTAAAAAACACATCATATTATTCATAAGATGAAGAAAAAGTGAGAATCCTGCATTGAATCTCAATTTATCAATGAAGATGCATTGCTCTAATCTTTCTGTGTCCAAAAATGATATGCCTGATGGCTCCACAAAAGATATGTTCTCTTCTGCAGTCTAAGGGTGACACCTGCTTTAGTAGGCATTTACATCCAGTTTTCCTAGAAAATTTTTTCATAGCTTTTGAATAGGCCTTTTGATGATGGTTGCGTAACCTGAATGCCATCATTCAAAATACTTGTAACCTTCACGACTTCCACTTGATAATGGCCAACCTCAAGCTTACTGATGGTTTTCCATCCCAGTCTATGATCTAAATGATAGTGAAGACTTAATTAAAATCAGGTAGTCTGATAGTTTTCTTGGAGGGGGATATAGAGATGAATTTCATAAATTTAGAAATCAGTTTCATGTTTTCTTAAGAAGTTTATCCTTTTAAGCTTTTAACGATCCCTAGATGCATGCATTACATTTACCATTTGCTAAACTATGCACCTCATCATTTTTTTAAAATTATAATATTAGCTGTTGTGATTTATTTCTAAAATTGCTTTTATATCTTTTAATGAGTACACTATCTTACTGTTTTTTAATAACTGCCTTTTAAAAATTTTTCTTTTAAAGGTAAAAAGAGGATAAAAGAATTAGAAAGGAAGAAAGCTGTGTCTCTCAGATTTAAGTCGGAGTTCTTAACAAAATTGTCTAAAATGCACAAGTGTCAGGAAGACAAAAATTTTGAATTGCGGGCTGCAGATGTGCAGCTATATTCAGTTTACAGTGCCTTGAAAACAGTCATCCATCATCGAACTAATGAGTTGATTACACACATATTTCCAATTACTAAAGTATCGTCTCATTAGTAAGTTCATTGCCATTACTAAAATTAAATTTGTATGCTTGATAGCAGTTCTTGTTCATTTGATAAGAATTTATGAAAGAAACATTAAATGCATGGGATTAATTTACTGAAGTGCAAGTTTTATAAATTGAAGAAATTTGTAAATAATTAAATAAATCTGATTTAAAATAATCTGATACAGATTATTTTAAAATCATATTCATGCTCATTCAATAAAATATAATGATTGGGATTTTTTTCTATATTTGATGTTATATATATATATATATATATATGTACACTGCTAAAAAAAATGAGACAGTTCTATATCTCCTGTTCTAACTCTTGGGCCGATTGACAAAATTCAAATTGCGTTCTTCATGTCTCGAAAGCGCGACTTTAGGATATATATAAGATTTATATATAGCACTATTCTAACATAGGTATTTTGACCAAAAATCAGACTTTTTCTGAAATAACATACCATTTTTTTTTTAACATATTTCGATTCTACAACTCAAATTACGCCTAAATATGAAATTTTGTAAAATTTGGAGCGAAATTTACGAAGAAATTCACAAATTTATGTTGGCTCTTTTTTATTTCCTTGTACGAAGTAAAAAGGAAGTATTGTAATCGCGAAAAGCTTCAGGCAGCATATTTCAACGAAAATATCCATTTTGACCGCTATCGAATGCAATTTAACGATGTAAAAAGGAAGTATTGTAATCGCGAAAAGTTTCAGGCAGCATATTTCAACGAAAATATCCATTTTGACCGCTATCGAATGCAATTTAAAAACGATGTTTTTTTTTTGCGTCATATCTGTACGTAACGGACAGAATAAAATACTCTTTTCCTTCAAAAAAATTATAAAACTGCTTTAAAATTAATTCTGAAGAGAATTTTTCATGGCGTCTGTACGAACGTATGTACTTACGTTCATGCGTACGTACATAGCTCGCATAACTCAAAAATGAGTAGCCTCAGAACGTTGAAATTTTGTATATAGGACTGCTATAACATGTAGATGTGCACCTCATATTTTGGTTGCAATCGGCAGCACCAAACGTATATAAATATATTTATATATATATCCACTCTATTACCCGGCTCACTGATCTAAGTTTCTTTACTCTTATATGTTTGTAAATTGTACATTTTTTGCTTTAAAAATGATTGAATTATGTTGTTTTTATCTTCCGCTTAAGGATTTTATGCCTTTAGCAAATCTGTGTGCAATATTTTTAGAATTATCAGCAATTTTAAAGTTGTTTAATTGACGCTAAGCCTGTTTTTAATGGCGGCCATTGATGTTTACATTTGAAACAGGAGACTAGTGGATTTGTTGCCAATCTAGAGAAACTTAGCTTTGCAACAACAAAGATAACACATTCATTTATTATTGCCAATTAAATCATGCTTAATTCTTTCTGGAATTTTTTCGAGGAAATAAGCGTTTGAGATTTACTTCCTAATTTTAATATAGATATTTTGAGTTTTATATATTTTGCCTTCTCGCGAAGTGAGAACTGAATTAATTAAATGAGAAATACTCAATCGTCTGTGAAAAACTGTTTCTGTTTTGTTTTGTTTGCTTAATTTCTTTTATGCATAGTTCTAACTTTATTATAGTATTTGAATAGAACATGTGACAACGATTAGATAATTTTTTAAATGATATACATTTTGTGCATTCTGAGTTATAATATGAATGAAATATAATACTGTTAAGTAAACCTAGCGCCAGAGTCTCGCTATGGTAAACAAAGTGAATTTTAAAGAATGCATTTATTCTATTGTGGTTTATGCATTGTCGAAGTAGGTTTAATTCAATCTAATAAGTTTAAATAAAATGCAAGAAAAAATGCGTATAATTTAATATTCCGTACAAGGAAGTCTTGTGGTGTACACATCAGATTTTTTTCAGTTTGCGCCAAGAATAGTTCACTTGGTGAACTTCTTAATATATGGCAACCTAGTTTCCTTCCCGTAAGAGGAAAAAAAGTCACCATCGTTCCTTTTTCAAAATAATATTCTTTATATTATATTTTTATTATAACTGTTATTATTTTAAGCAATTTTTTCTTTTTCGAATTTCATTTTAATTGTTTAAATTGCATGTTTCCTTCGAACTGAGCATTTTAAATACATTTATTAATACAGTCAAAAGTCGTTAATCCGGACTCGTTGGGACTTCGGCGACTCTGGATTATCGATTTTTCCGGATTATAGATCATCAGTTTAAATCTGGTAAAATGGCATGCAGAAATTATAAAATTAAAAATATGAAACCGTAATTTACGAAATAAAGAACAATTATGATCTAAAATGTATCAAAATTTACAAAAAAAAAAAAAAAAAAAAAAAGCTTAATATTTATTTGTTTACTTTATTAAACGTATCTTTCAATGTAAGTTGTTTAAGTTGCTTCGTTTTTTTATGTGATAATACATTCTCTTTAATTCTATAAACAGACATAATTTCTTGTTCAGTTACAAAGTTCCACTGTTCAAGTCCTATAATTGCTGTGTCGAGAATACCGACTAATTTGTCAATCGAAGTTTTTTCGTTTTCAATACCTCTGTCACTTTCTTCGCTATCGGAAACGAATTATAATGACGAGGCATTTGATTTAAATCATATCAAAGACGGAGTACATCGAAATGAAATACTACATTTAGTAAGTAATTATAAGCCAAATAAAATAAAAACATCTGCCCTGAAGATAAGGATAGTGCTGACAGATCAACTTCCAATTCATTGCGCGCCCCGGCCGCAGCGTCAAAGATAAACAAAGGATATGCCTTTATCCATTTTTTGCAGCAATTCCACTTATAGTGCTGATCAAAATAAATTTGTTTAATATATAAATTTGTTTGATGGACATTGAAACATGCTTTTGCTTTGTAGATCCTTTGGCAGCTCCAGAATCAGAAATTCTTTTTGACATAATCGAAAGTTCAAGCTTACTTGTATAAAATTGCTCTAACAGTCTGCAAAAAATAATAAGCCGGATCCAATTCGAAGATTAAGGAACAATGCAATCTGCAACATTAACTGAAATAAATAGATTAAATAATTTTAGCTTAGCTTATACCGTTCCCATTACACATTAAACGCGCATGCGTAAACGTATTTTGTGCATGCGTACAATGCATATGCGCAAGCTGTAAAGGTCTTATGCCTATGTGTCAAACGCATATGTGCATGCGCAGAAAGTTTGTAGCTTTGAGGTCCGGATTATGGGTGAATTAACGTTTTTTGACTGTATAAATTTTTCAGAATTTGATTTTATTTATTTGAATTGCGTTTCTTTTGGAAGAATACTTTGTAACCCAGACTACGATGCGTTTGAAAACTTCATATATTAAAAGAGAAACTACACTAAAGCACAGTTAACATGTCTTTCAATGTTCCGTTCAGAAAAGATATATATAAATAAGAGAGATGTATAACCGACATTTTAACTGAGGATGACTTGCATACACTGCTTTAAACAATTTTATCATTGTGCCCATTGCTTTACACAATTTTATGCTACATTTGGTTTCTTAAAATGTTATTCATATTTTAGTCAAGTATTTTATTTTTGAAATCGCAAGAATCAAATATCATAAAAGGTTTTAAATTTAAAAAAAAAATACAAATACTAAATTTGACGCAAAAATTTATTTTTTCTACTCTTTTTCTTCAGGCATTCTACTTTATTCTTGCTCTTTTTCTTTAGGCATTCTGCAAGTATATTAAAAAGCATCCAACTTTTCGAAATATCTTGATATTTCTGACAATCATTTTAAATAAAGTTATCGCCTTCCATTTCATAAAGGCACAAAAGGGCCAAGTGGTAAAGTCGCTGAACACTGGTAGTTCACTCCGGGGTTCGAATCCCGGTAAATGGGCTGGTTGCATGGGAGTTTTCGTGGATTTTCTCATGTGTACTGTGTATGCCAGCTGGTTTCCCTTAGAAAGTTCTTCACGAAGTATTTGGTCAGAGCCTTTATCAGTTTTTAGAGGCTAAACATTTTGAAGGTATGAGATGAAAGGAAAGACTGGTTTTATCAAGAGGTTTTGGTTTATTTAATTATGACAAAGCACACTAGGGCTATCTGCCTAACAGGAGGGATGCCTTCATGGAGCACTTTCTAAGGGAAACTGGTTCGCATACACATTACACATGGGGAAAACCAGGAAAACGCCTATGCAGCCAGCCAGTTCGCGGGATTTGAACCTCTGATCGAACTACCAGTGTTCAATGACTTCACCGCTCGGCCGTTGTTTCATCAGGAGGGAAAAAAAAAAAAAACATCTTTAGGTGACATCCACATACATCACTGGATAAACTCCTAAATCTTCAAATAATTCGACTGAGAAAATAATGGGATTCTCCATTTATGATGCGATATGATGTTCTATAACGTAATTTAAATTTATACAACCATATAGTCTAAACCAGTCGCTCTTCACTTTTATCTGCAATGATATTTTTTTGTCTTTTCTGTTAACAATTGATAGTATTTGCTGGTGTACACGTCCAAGTGCTTTCGTTTTGAAGTATCCTGAAAGTATATTCAAAAGCGTCCAACTTTTTGAAACATCTTGGCATGTCTGACAGCAAAATTTCCCTGCAAATTTTTGCTTACTTTTCTTCCTAATTTTCTTCTTTCCTTCTACAGTTATTTTCAGTGCTCACACAAGAAAATTAAGATTTTTCGATTGCTAGACTTCCATAAATTTTGCATTCTTGTCAATTTTTTAAAATATCAATTACATGAATTGCGTTTCAGCTGAAGACAGCTTTTCATTTTCTAGTCAATTTAAATAACGTTTAAAGCGAAGTCCAAAGAATAAATATTTTAATTAAAAGATTTTTGCTAAACGACAAAGAAATAAAACAGTCCAGCAGGGTTTATTCTGAACCACCGAGTGACCCGATTCTTATATCGGCTGAAACAATCTAAATCATATTAAAGATCATGTTTTTTTATACAATCTATAAAGCGAGAGAAAAATTAGCTTCT